TGCATATAATTGTGCTTTATTAAGCCAAAAATTGGCCAATTGCTCTGGCTTGCATCTGTAATAAAAGGATGTTTGCTTAAATTCCCATTTAACATTGATTTTTTAAGTATTTTATTCGAGAAAAAGCCTTTTAGTAGAATTTACGTACATATAATAGACACATACATTTTTAAAATTCAGTTCATTTAATAAAATTGATACAAATTGGGATGATGACTGAAACTACTGAGACAGCTTTTTCATTTTAATTGTTTTAAAGCTCAAGTGTCTCTAACGAGCCGTTGCAGCTGGAAATCTTAATTTGCTTGCGAGCATTTTCATCGACCTAATTAATAACCGTTTCCGTGCAATATTCTGGGTTTATTAACATTGTTATTATCGAATCGTGTACAATATTGTAAGTGTTATCAACACCTTTGATTTGTCAAATCAACACCAGTGCTTTTGTAGTGTTTTTTTTACGAAATTATTATTTTTAAATTGTTCTAATCTTAATATTTTTTGATAAATGACTCGGTACACTACACCGTAACTAAAGCTCGAACGTTGCTGATTTTACGTCACTTTGCGTAATCGCCTACCAAAATACCCTAATACAAATTAAACTTCCCTCTCGAAAAGTGAATGCTGCATGTAAAACCCGAGATTACCGTCAATCTGTCATATAGTTCGCGTTTTGGCAGCCACCCCTCAATTTTAAACTTTATTGTGTTAGGAAATCGCAGAGGGGTGAGGTCTAAGACCCCGTTTTCCAAAGTAGTTTTTGTTCAGCGCTGTATAACGACAATAATTAATTTTTCTAGCTACGCGGGTTGTTGATGGTGTTAGTAAAATTTAAATTATTTTTATCCCCAAATCAGGTCTTTTAAAGGTTCCACTTAACTCTTACGGCTCAATTGCAGATTATTTCATTTTTATGCCGTTCAATTAAATGTTGCATGCACCACTTAACTCTTTAAATTAAGCGATTGTGAAAGGGAAAATAAAAAAGTATAAAGTTCCTGATTTAAATTGCATTTGTCATTGACATTCAACAGTAAGTTGATGCTTAACGGCATGCGACTTCACAAATTCGGCTTTTGTGTTAGACAGGGTGTTGCTGCTTTCTTTGGCCAAGACGTTTGCTCAACACTGCAACATACTTAGTGCTTAAACGGTTTTATTAAATCCGGCCGCTAAATATATGCATGGTGTAGTATCGATTTTTAAAATAAGTTGTAAAGAAAGGCTTACAGCAATTTATTTTCAAGTAAGAAAGTCCATAGAATGCGTGCAATATTGAATATGATTAATTACGTACTCGATCAGGCGTCGGTCTCGTGCGGCGTTACCGCAACGAATATATCGGGGAAAAAATTAGGTGCGCGCAAATTCCATCTCTTCGGACAGAAAAAATGAACAAGAGAAAACGAAACGACAAAAGAATGATAGTAATTAGAAACAAAAAGAGGCGAAATGACGGATCTTCCGAATCCATCTCCGTCTGCGCGGCCATAATACCTTTCAGTTGTAATTCAAATAAATTGTTTTTTGCGTGGCTAGGCGAGCCGACGTTCTCGTTTTGATTGATTACCCAAGGAAAATTGTAACGTTTTTAATCGAATTTGTGAAAAGCGTTTTCTCATTGTTAATATCTGTGATTGACGGGACTGGGCGCTGTGATTGTTTTTGTAATTTTTTCGACTATCGATGGTTCGTACTTGACCAGCCCAGTTCGGATTTCATTCACTTGGTTAAACCGCTTAAAATCCTCGTCCTTTTTAATGCACTGAATATTAAACCGCGAGCATAAGGTCATCCATATATTCATAGCCGATCCATCAATATTTACATCAGATCCAGAGCCCCTTCTAAATGATATCTAGCCCACCCTTTCCGTACCCCTTTTTGAGTTACCAAAAATAAAGGGACAATCAAATCATGATCTATTGAACGAAAATTTGTAACCAATTCATTGTGTCGGGTTTTGCTTTAAATTTCTTATTGAATTTTGTAAATCGCGTCCCCGCAGTTCCGACAACAAAGGGGCTCATAGGAAAAATAATGGTGGTGCATCCCTCTTTATACCGTTTTTTTCCATTGGGGTGTGTCTGGAATAAAGCCTTCAAGCAAGAATTATTGAACGCTTAATAACAGCTGAACGAATTCCATGCAAGCTAAAGTACAACTTTGTGAAGGTGTAGTTTCAATTGCAATATTTACAGCTCGAGTTCAAGGAAAAAATCCAGCTTAGGACAACGATCTGGACTATTTTGAAGTACATTATTTTACGTTCAGAATCAGTTAGGACCCTCAGAAAAGCCCCTTTCGATAGGCATGCCAACCAAGTCATTTATAATTTCAAATATTAACTACAGCTGAATGGGTGCCCAAGATCCGTAGCTTTAACCAGAGCCCCTATCTTTTATTATGTTAAATACCCTTCTCTTTAGCGACACGTCCCAATTATGACGAGTTTAATGATAGATTCAGAGAAAACCGGCCCTTATCCTCAACGAATTAATTTTTATACTTGTAAATCTATGGCTTTTAGGGCCGGAAATTTTGAATTTGAAACTTACCTCTTTGAGCAAGATTGTTTTTCGACTTGGCTCTCTTAAATATCGATTTATGTTGACTGATATCAACAGTTTGTCTAGTTTTTCACTTAGAAAGTACTTGAATTTTCTTCGTTTGCTTCTCAATCACTCTTACTAATTCTAGCTTTTCCTTGATTAATTATCCTCATCATTGTGCAACTGCGACTTTTTTCCTCAGCTCTATATCGTTTTGTAGTCGTTCATTAGTCATCTAAACTTTCTCATCGTTGTTGTCTGTATTTTTTCTAATGGTTTTGTCATCTTCACAACTTAGTGCTCCTCCTGTTTTTTTCCTATTCACATCCTTAATGTGCTGAAGTTTTATCGTAATTATGAGGTTTTTTTTACCACTAAAACATGTTTGGTATATTTCGATTATTTTTCGTATTTTTGAGCTTAAAATGGTGATTGTTCAATTTATTTAGAAGGAATTTTCCTACTGCTGCTTTGTTACGTAATGAAACAAGCTCATTCTGGGCTGCTTCATTGACACTTCCCAAAGTTTAAATTCTCCAGTTTTTTATAAGTTAATAATTATTAAGTGAATCACAGTAACCAAGATTATTTCCTTTTTTTTGGTCATTAGCTGCCTTAATAAGTTGAATCTTATATAATTTAGTTCTTTGTTTTTAACATATGCTTTAGTGGATTTTGATGTAAAATGTTTCTTATTTAAATGATATTTGATACGAACTTATATTTTTTCTGGAAAACGGTTCATTTTATCGATGTCAAACAGTATATATTTTTTAGTTTAAGGTTCGGGCTTTCTAAAAATGATCTTTTGGTGTCTCTAGCATACAGGGTGTTAAGGAATATGGGCATTAAAGTGTACAAGCTGTGTACAAGCTTGATCCTTGGCGCACTCAATGCACTAAATTGACGTCGAAAGACACTGTTTTAAGGGGTCTTAACTGCTAATATCTATAATAGCAGAAAATGATTTTCAGTATTCTAAATACTTTAAAAGCTACTTATGAAAAACCGGTTTTTAGTGGCGTCTTTTAGGCTCCTATATATTGCTGAATTTTCAATCATCAATCATCAACGCATCAATTTAGTCACTCAAATTAAATGTTTCGCTTTTGAGTCCGCACAATTTTGGTTTAGTTATTTTTCTATTTCTATTAAATGCATTAGACGTTAATTTAGAAATGTGGATCAACCGCTTCTGGCTTGTAAATTGCAAATTCAACATTTTAAGTTCAAGCAGTTGATAAAGTCATTTCAATTATTATTAATTGAAAGAATAATCTTCTAAACCGCTAAGTTAAAGAAGACAATTTCTAATATCAGGACAGTGGTGATCACGAATTATCGTGGCAAATTTGCAGTTTTATTAAGGGTTGATTTAATCGTTTATAACAAACTTTGCAGCCCAAATCCAGGTGCAAACTCGGAACAATTAGACGTGCAAGCAAAGGAAGCATTTCCACCCGTTGTAATTGCCATTATATTCCAAACTTTTCACCTTTTCGGTACATTAACGACATAATTAGCTAACTTTTATTATTCAAGTCCTGAAAACTATCCAAGAGACAGATAAGTTGAATGAATTGACCTAATGGAACTGAATTT